CAGGCAGCGCCAGGCCAGCCAAGGCGGGTGCGAGTGGGAGCCCCAATCGCCCCACCAGTCGCCCCACAGATCGGCCCTGATCGCCGGCCAGGCCTAGGGACCCTACCTGTGCATGAATTTCATGCACCGGGCCTCTAGTATCTTTAGAAAAATCTATGAAGAGGACTCTGACTTACTCTAAATTGCAGGCTTCTAAGCAGGTCATATCTTTGAACTGGATGAAGATTTATAGAACTTTAAGGAATAAATGAATTAAAAAAAAATACTGGCAAACTCTTGCAACTCGGCCACCGACATGCCATCCAGTCTGAGGAAGACCCGAAAACTTCGGGGCCACATGAGCCACGGACACAACCACATCGGCAAGCACAGGAAGCACCCGGGGGGACGCGGTAGTGCTGGTGGCTTCCATCATCACAGGATCAACTTTGACAAATATCACCCAGGTTACTTTGGGAAAGCTGGTATGAGACATTACCACTTAAAGAGGAACCAGAGCTTCTGCCCAACGATCAACCTTGATAAACTGTGGACCCTGGTCAGTGAGCAGACACAGGTAAATGCTGCCAAAAGCAAGACTGGAGCTGCTCCTATCATTGATGTGGTGCGATCAGGCTACTACAAAGTTCTGGGGAAGGGAAAGCTCCCAAAGCAGCCTGTCATTGTGAAGGCCAAGTTCTTCAGCAGAAGAGCCGAGGAGAAGATTAAGGGTGTTGTGGGGCCTATGTCCTGGTAGCTTGAAGCTACATGGAGGGAAGTTCATTAAAATGTCCAAGTACTTTTGTCTTCTAAAAGAAAAAAAATGTACTGGCAAATAATCAGGATAAACAAAAATAACTACGGGACTAAATGAATTGAGAATAATTATTCTTATGACTCTGTTTAAAATATTGTTGATTTTTAAATCTTTTGTTTCCCAAATATAAGGAAAACTAAAAGGCAGACATTCTCATTATAGCAGTGGTTCTCAACCTTCTTAATGCCGCGACCCTTTAATACAGTTCCTCATGTTGTGGTGACCCCCAACCATAAAATTATTTTCGTTGCTACTTCATAACTGTAATTTTGCTACTGTTATGAATCGTAATGTAAATATCTCATATGCAGGATGTATTTTCATTGTTACAAATTGAACATAATTAAAGCATAGTGATTAATCACAAAAACAATATGTAATTATATATGTGTTTTCTGATGGTCTTAGGCGACCCCTGTGAAAGGGATGTTCGACCCCCAAAGGGGTCTCGACCCACAGGTTGAGAACCGCTGCATTATAGGAACTAACAAATTAGTAACATTCATTTCACAGAAGACTAATATTCAAAGACTACGACAACCTGGAGATTTTTGTCCATTGGAAAATACATTAATGTAAGACTCTCTCCAACAGTGTTAAAGGGACTTTACCTTATCAGGTACCTAACCATGAATGGACATTTGCCCCTGTCTCTGACATGCGCCTTC